GGTTCAAACACAGGGCTGCCTCTCAGCTTGCAAGTTCATTTTCCCCCTCCTCAGTTGCAAACAGCTCACAAAATGTGCTTGTTTTTTAAAGCTTGCAGCCTGTTCTTTACTCCTGGCATGGGATTAGAGAGGAAAGAGGCCAAAAATGTGCTGACATAAGTGCAGCAGCAGCAGTCTTAATTTCACTTATAAAATAAGGCAAACGCTCATACTTAAGTGAGTTTTCTTCCTAAAATTGGGTCTCTTTATTCAATTACTCCTATAAAAGAGGCTTGACATACAGCTTGTTTCTGTATAATACGCTGTTCACATCACTGGGAGCAGTTTGCCCCTGTTGAGTTTTTACATGCTCACTAATTACAGTGGCACGGAGTCAATTTTTACATCATTAAATCGGTGGGGGCCTTCAGGGATCAGTGATTTGTCCTGGTGTAATGAGCACATCATCCTTAGGAAGAACTGGATGTTGTTAAAGAAGTGATGCTGAAACACAGGGAAAGGAGGTACAAGGTGTAAAAAGGTGATTGTAATTTGTTGAGGTTTAAGAATCATAGGACAAGAAGTAGAGTGGATCTTGAAGTGGCGCTTAAGCTATTACAATAGAGACTGGAGGGTTTTTTGGTGGTGAGGAACAGAAGTGGTACTTATGGTGCAGGGAAATAAGAATAAAAGCAAACCCAGGTTTTCAGAGAGCTGGTTGAACCAGTGGAGGGGACTGGCAGGGGAACTGGTAGTGGGTATGTCCTACTCCAATGACTGTCATTTGTGCCAGAATTGTGTGCAGCAAAGGAGGAATACCTTCAGAAATGTGGCTGTCATAACATGAGGTTGAAAACCCATCTGACAAGCTAGGTGGGTATTCAAGTGCCCAGCCATGCTATTCTGCAGGCATCTGAGGCACTGCTACAAGCCCGTTTCCAGCTAGCTGGAGTACTTCTGCAGCAGCTATGCTTACTGTCATAGGTGTTCTAGTGATCAAGAAAGGACTGCAGGCAAAGCATCCTATTCCCAGCTAAGCATTCACACTGCAGGTCTGTGTATTCCTTGGAGTTCTTCTTACTCATGACCACCCATGAAATCCACAATATAAAACTGTACATAGTAAAAGTATACTTAGAGCTTTAAGATCATTTTCATTTTCTCTCTCCAGTACAGCAGACGTTCACAGCATGTGAATCAACAGCCCTGTGCTCCCTAAACCCACTGCTGCTAGGAAAAGACTTAAAGACTGTCCAGTTAGAATATGTGCATGCGTTTTGCTACGCTCCTTAAAAAGCAGAGGGGCTGTGATTTTATTGCATATTAAAAGCTAGTTTGCCATCTTGCGGCTGGAAAGAGAACACAGTGACCAGATGCTCTATTTTAATGACTCCTTGGCTTCACTTCGTGAGAGACAGATGAAACATCTGATTAACAGCAGTGTATTTAGGAGCTGCCTTCCCTCCACTACAAACATAATGTTCCAGGAAGCATGAACATAAAATATCTCCTCTAAAAGCCAAGGCAGAGTGACAGGTATTAGATGAGTTGGCTCTTATTTTAAAGGATATTATTCTCTGCATCTTTTCATCTTTACTGTAGTTTTCTTTCAACTTCCAGTTATATTTTGACACAGCAGCAAAGAAATGAGAAGTCAAATGAAGAGTAGCACATGGCTGCAGGGTAAATAAAGTGCAGGACGTGAGTGGTTTTAAGAATTTTATTTAATTCCTTTTTTGTATTATTTCATCCCTAATACATCGATTTTTAGAATTATTGGGCTTTTAAACCAAATCTAAAATAGAAAGCAACAGAGAGGGATGTGGCAAGGCTAAGAACCACAGCATGTGATAGAACAAACTCGTGTGGACAAATGTTAACAATATAATCTCTTTAAAAACCAAAATGTTAGGATATAAGCAATATAGTGCATGTTTTGGTGTTTTCTCATGGTTGTCTTCTACATTTCTCATCTCTAAGAGAATTTGTTTCGGTCTGTTTTCATATGCTTCAGGGTCTCAACACTGAAAGCGATCCAGTCACGAGCCAGCAAAGCTCTTACCACAGAATTGACAAGTTGGCCAGCAGCTCCAAGCTAACAACTTCCAAGTGCATTGACAGTGCTTGTACAGTCACTTGTGTGACTAGTGCTGTTCTCAGTGTGGGTCACATCTCTCAGTGCTTTGCAGGATGAAGCCTCTCTAGCCGCGGTAGGTTTCAGCTCCTTTTATGCTACAGCTGCTCAGTCAAGTGGCTTTTGCATCTTCCAGAGGTTTCTCATTTAAAATGTGTTCTTAGGAAGAGATCAGCGGAAAAAAGCTGTACCCATCCTATGCTGCTGGCCTAGGATATAGGAAGTGATTCTAATTCTCTGCTTCAACTCAAGCGTAAACTTTGACTTTGAACTCTAAGACCAAAGAGGGGCACAGAAGGGGAAGGAAATCTTTCTCAGTTTATATAGCTCAAGATATAGAGATGCCAACAAGGAATGCCATCCTGGTCAGAAAGAATGTGTGTGTCCCTTCAAGTTTGGTTCATGAATAAAGAGCAAACCCCCAAATCAGACCCATTTCTTCAGAAAACTCCTGCTCGCCTCTACCTCCTGATGTTTTTTACAAGCACTTGTTCGAAGTGAACAGCAGCTGAAGTAAGCATTGTGTTATTAGATAAAATTGCCTTAAAGAAGTGTATGCTGGATTGATTTTATCCATCAAGTTATATTTCTGCTTACAGATGCCACGCTACCATCTCTCTGCTCACCAGAAACAGCCACAAGATTGTTTGAAATGAGGAAAATAGAGACAGAAAACTACTCCAGGTAAAGAGATACCACAGAAATTAATCTTTCTTATGAATAAGTGTGACATGATTTTCCCCTCTTTCTTTCACCACTGCAAATCTGCCACAACTCCATTTTGATTTAAAGCTACGAGGAATCTTGATTTGAGCGTTTTAATGCTGTCACTTGTGGATTTAAAAGTGCCTCCACCCAGGGGAAAAAATCATGTTAGAAATTATGGACAAAACCAGATGCTATGGAAGAAAAATCAATGTCATTATAAATACATGTGTAGCATTAGTAACAGTCACAGGTTATTTTTTGACCTATTCAGAGTGTAAATGTTAATATATTACTATTTCTTCAGTGAGAATTGACTGGGAACCTGCTCTTAAACCATGCAGCAGATCATGTTTTGGCTGGAGTTTGTAGGTTTGATCTTCCCTGCTAACCAAAGGAAATTGGGATCAAGTCAACTCAAATACATAGAAGCTTTACCAAAATAGAAGTGATATAAATGAAAGAAGAATTGGGTTCTACATAGCTAACGTCAGGAGGTGGGTTACACACTTTTATTAACATAAGGTTTCATTCCCCCCCCATGTTTTTTCAGAGAGAAGGAAGAACAGATGTCAAGTTGTTATGTGGAGCTGCTCTTGGAATGCAGCTGTTGCACATTGATTTTAAATAGTTATTTCTTCATGGGAGCACTCTTAAGGGCTCTCCAAAGTTTGTCATTTTCTGCAGACAAGGGAATCTTCCCAATGTTTCTGATCTAGTTCACTTTGGCCCAAACTAACACTTCCTAAAATAACCAGTCGTCAGAGGTATTGCATTGGATTTCTTTGTCTCAACGACTTGATGTCTAAATTTGGGGGGATTTAAAAAGGGCATGCTGAGACCAGATTTTCTGATCAAGAGTTACACCTAGAGGAGAGCTGGAACCTCTTACAGTAAAAGGAAAATCTTCCCTTCTCTTTGTCAGTAAGGGATGTTGGGTATCTGTGATGCTGAGCAAGATCCCTACCCCAGCAGAGCTGAGATGTAACTGGGGTAACTGGAGGACTCCAGAAGCCACCACAGAACTGCTGACTCCACCTCTTGCTTTAGCTTCAGGGAGCTGCAGCCAACTGTTGCATGATCTGAAATGTCAGGGGTTCTGACCAAAGAGACTGAAAACTGTAAAGTCCTGCACAACAAATCACTGCAGCTTGAACCTTTCATGCTCAGTAAAGAAGCAGGACTTCAGGTTGGCAGCCCAGGAGAGAGAGGAAGCTCAGTTGTGGCTTTCAATAAAGAGCTTGCTTAAACTGATTTACAATTGCTTTCTTCTTTATAATCCTGTCTTTGTACCAAGCCTGGGCTTGGAAAGAAACCAGGTGACAGAGAAAATGACATTCCTGTCAGTACCTTACAGAGAAAATGCTGTGTGCATTCTTCATTAGCGTATGGGCTGTTGTTTCATAACCTGAAACATTTTAGCCACATGTTTTGCATGTGAAAAATGTAAGTTTTCTAAGCTCTTTCCCCCCCCCTCAGGATAATGTACAAAGCAAGAGTTTAGTGGTTTGGAGCATTGTGATTTTCTACCATTTAAAGTACATGACATCACTAACTGGCTGCAAATTACTCAGAAAAAGATGTTTAAAAATAGCACCATTTTCTCAATAAATCTGCTCCTTGTTTGTGTTAGAGGCATATGGTCTTATTTAACCGACAAAGCCAAATTATAATCCTGTTAACACAGCAGAGTCCTTGAGCTGTAAAAGAGCAAATGGGAATCCTGCTGACAGAATCGTTGGTATTGATAATGCTGGGAGTGGTGGAGAGGCTGTTTCGCTCCTTCAGAACACAACATCATCATGCAGAGCCTCAGAAAGAAACTTTATTCTTGACAGGTTAAAAGCAATTGTCCAGAATAGTTTGGAAGAATCTATAAAGTCTGAGTTTTAATAGAATAGCGGCCAGATTTCAGGCAGAGCTGTCAGACAGATGAAAAATGTAGTTTATTGCATTATTCTGCAAGCTGTTACACAAATACTTCTCTATTTATAGTGCCTGTGAAGCTGCATGTTCCCTGTGCATTACCAGCAGATGCAGTTTCATGTAGTATGACAAATTTGGGCCTGCATTTGAAGTGAAAAATATGGTTTGGCTTGGTTTAGAAGCATCCTTTCCACTCTTTCCTGTTGTACTTAGGTTCCTAAAGTTGTTACTGATCTTGTTTCAAACCCTGGATGTGCCTGAGCTCCTGTCAGAAAAGCAGAGAGCTGATGAAGATGGATGTGACAACCGAGAGGAATGGTGTGGGAAGGAAGTGGATGGTCTCACAGCTTGGCCGCGTTCTCCAACAAAAGATTGCAGGATTAAATGAGGAACACTGCACACACAGGTAAGTACTTCATTACCTTTTAAAGAGTCTAAGGGGTTTTGTACCATTCCTACCAGGCAAATCCTCAGTTCTAACTTGGTTGGGGTATTTGTTTTGCCAGCATGATGCTATGAGCTTCAGTTAAAGACCGAGTAGGAGTGGAATAAGAAGCTGTTTTGTGCATGCAAGCTTCGCTTTTCCCCAGGATTTTTATCTTCCTTGGTGGTTTGGTGTTGTGGAAGTTTTTGGATATTGTTATCTAAACAGTTTTGTATTTTTAGGCTTTCTAACCTCTGCTGGGCTTAGAGCAATGACAACTAGCAACAAGAAACCCATCGTTTTGAATGACCAGGAGAGCATATCTATTGAGTGAGTAGATGCCATTGCTTATATTAAAATCAGACCATGGCTGAATTGAAACTGAACTGAAAACACACCAGTGCCAATTTTGCACTCCAAATTTCATGTGTTCCTTTGTTTTTTACGCTGAATATGAAATGTCTGGACATGGAGCATTGTAGTTTTCCTACAGGAACTGTACCTGTCTCTTCTCTCTTCCAGGTTTATCAGTTGTAGCCGTCACTAAGTAATCCATGCAGCTGCGGTGAGACCTACAACGATGTACAGGCAACCAGGACAGTAAAGATTCATAGAGCTTGGATCCAGGCACCGGTTTCAAGGGCCAGCAGGGTACAGTCGTTAAGTAAACGAGACACACTGTGACAGGGTCTGCGGAATGACATTCACAGGAGATTGCTGAGATTACAACAGAAATGGGGGGGGGGGGTTCCATCTTCAAGTCACTGGCCTCTTAACATGTGTGACACTGCTTAAACAGAGACATAAATGTCTTTATACTTGCACAGGGTCCTAGAAAAAAACCCCAACACATAGTACTGGAGCACAACAGTGAGAGACTCAAGCACTTTGGTGTAGGAATTCATTAGAAATATCTGTTGTGTAATAAAACCTCACAAATATTTATTATCTGAATACCTAGAGATAAACCAGATGTGAACATGCCACCTCTGAAACCTGTTCCCTAAATGACAGAACAGAGTAGCTACTATGAAGCAGCCCAGCTCCATGGCTTGCTCTGTGTGTGTGTGAAAGGCCCACATGAGAAATCTCTTCTCAGAACAGATATCTTGTGATTTTTATGCCTGTAAGGATGGTCCTGAAAGAATAAAAGCAATGGACATGCACGTACAACTGTGCTTGCAGGCATCAGCCTCTAAGAAAAGAGCACAGGACTGGAGGGTGGATAATCAGCCGCCCCTTCATGATTGTGCCACTACAATGTGCCCATGGTCAAGTTATTTCACCTTTCTGAGACTTCCTTCTCCTGTTTTGTCTCTTACCTATGAGGGTGGTAGAGTCTGGAACAGAAGTTGTTTCTGTGATGTACTTGCAGTTCGTAGCCACCCTGGTCATGCTCTGGAAACACTGTACTATTTCTGAAGGAAGCAGGAGCCCTGGAATTTAGCAATAAACCCCCTTTTCTAAGAAAACCCTCACCTTAGGTTGCAATACATGGGGAATTAGCATATCCTCTGTGTATTACAGTCTCGGAGTTCTGACATTGCTTAAATTGCGTGAGGAACATAATTAGTGCTTTGGTAAGCAAGGGACAACACTGCATCCTGCATAGGAGGTATGCCTGCAGCTATACATGCATACATGCATTTATCTATAACACATAGAGATATATATCTGGAAAAACTCATAATCAGATTGTATAAAACAAACTGGGTCTGCACATGCATTGGCTCTGTAGGACAGGCATCTGAGGGTGCACAAGGTACTGTGTCTTTGGTGGTACCCTTCTAGAAACTGTTCACAGCCAGGAATGCAAACGATATACAACAGAGTGAAGCCATAATTTAAACTCCAGTCTGGATGCAGATGATATCACTTTAATCCCATTGACCATGTGTGGAAAATCATCTCCAGCTACAAAAATGCCTTGTGTCTTTTCTAATGAAAATCCAGCTCCAGCTTTTCCTGCGTACAGGGCAATAGGGCACAGAACTGCAGTCCTTTAAATTTCACACTTCTTTATGAGCTCTTATCTGTGACCTTTGCTTCGTGTAACGTATTATAGAGAGAGTGTAGTCCAAACCCTGCGCGCCTGCTGTGAGAGAGAGCAGTGTGTGCCATACGGTGGTTTCATTAACGGAGATTGGTGTTCGCTCGCTTTATATCAAATACCTGTATTAAAACTAACCAGCTGCAGGCATCCCCGGGGCTGTTTCTGGTTTAGTCAGTGGAATTCCGCAGGTGTAAGCCCGACCTCTCTGAAGCCCCTGCGGATGTACGCCAAGGCTGCCAAGGGCTCGGTCTCCTCTAGATGGCCCCGTACCCCTGCCTGGGATGCACCGGTTGCTCCCGGTAGGAGAAAAGGCTGCTGCCTCCTTCCAGAAACTCCTTGTTTGAGTAGCAGCTGCCAGCAGGTATCGTTCTGCATGTAACAGTTAATGAAAGCTCAATAGGCAATGTGTGGTTACCGAGAAGCAGAAGCCCTTTCAAAAGACAGTCTTTGAAACGCCTCAGCCAATGCCACAGGAATCTGCTCCATGCCCATTGCTGGCTTGGTGGTGTGCACGCTCTGCTTGTTCAGGTAACTTTGTCGGTACCACCACCAGCTCATGGAGCACTGGAAGAAGAGTCACGCTGGACACTACCATCCACAGAGGTGTTAAATGGAAATACACCGTGCAGCCCTGCAGGAAGCACCTGAGGAAGCTGGGCACTGTGCTATAAAGGAGCAACAAGGGAAAATACCTTGCACTGAAGGGAACATATAAGGGGCAGTGGGAAACATGGATATCTGACAGTGTTGTTGCACAGCTTCAAAGATGTGTTTGTAAATAAGCACAGAAGGATTGCAGTGACCCTGTGCTGCCTTCAGCCTGTAATACAGATCAGTGATGTGAACAGACATGCCAACACAGAGCTGAAGGTGCTTTGTCTCCTGCCTCCTGTACTTTCTAAGCACTAGCTCATGCTATTCTGAGTAAATATTATGAGTAATAGTATCTAAATAATGCTAAGAAAACGAGCAGGGTTACATGCAGAGGAAGGTGCTACTTGCTCTGTGCTACTGTATCACAATGACATTTCATATTAAGGACAGCTTAAAATCGCCTAGAAGGGGTTAGTAAAGTACAAAAGACCTTGTTTGTAGTGAGACAAATCTTGGAGTTAAAACAAGGCAATAAATGGTTTATTACCCCTGGTATCAGCTTCCACTGACAGAGTAGGGGGGTTGGAACTACATAATCTTAAGGTCTTTTCCAACCCTAACTGTTCTATGATTCTGATTTATATCCGTAAGTGTTACTCTGCCTAGTTAGGTACAGAAGATGTTTATAACAAATATGTACTCCTTTCTAGCAGTATGTTTTTCTTAACATTAAGAGTGACCTCTCAGAGCCTGGCCATAAGCTTAGGTGACTTCAAAGTGCTGCCTTAGCTCAGCAGAAAACCCTGGTGGCAAGGGATTGCTGAAAGGCTTCCTCCTGATTCTTTTCTCACTAGGGATGTCCTGTGGTTTAACATCCGACAAGCAGGTTGATCAAAGGTAGCCAGTGAGAAACAACATGACTGGCTCAAGCAAGGGGTGAGAGAAGGCAAGTTGAAAGGTCTCTTTTATCTTGAGCACACTGTAAAATATGTTAATAATTTAGAGCATCCAAGGACAAAAAAAGATAGCACTTGAAAGGGGGTGAGAGAATGGCAGAAGTTTATAAGGGTTGTTTGCAAAGCACCTAAATCAAACAAATCTTTCATTTGACTCTAAGCATAAGAAAGAGGTGTGAACAAATTCCTAATTAGGTTGATGCCTAAGGCAAAGTGCTTTATGCTGGAGTTGGGCTGCCTGATTCCTTTGTGGGTTAGTTGTTTGGGGCTTTTTTTGAATAGAAAATAAAATAAGGAATGATCTTACAATCTTGAGGCCAGTTTCCCCGTTTGGTTGGTGTGAATAGCCCTAAAGGTTGCAAGATTTGCCTTGAAGTGAAGCCCAGGCTGTGGGGAAATCTCTGCCAGCAGCACAGTCCCTCCCTTGCTCCTCTCTCCCAGCTGCTATGAACAGCAGCCAGGAGGGGAGAAGGCAGACAGGGTTCTACTGCTTTTAAGGTGGAGTAGCCAAACTTTGGTGTTCTGCACCACTGAATAAAGGGTTTTGGAAACTTAGTGTGGCTCTGAGACAGCCAGAAATGTCCTTGGACACTATAGGAGCCATGTTGCCTTATAGAACCCTGTGTTTTGGGATGTGACTAGGGATGCGGTCATTCTGGTTTACTTCGGTTTTCTGAGAATAGCATTCCCATTCTCCTGGTAGCAACACCCTTGTAATATCTCACTTACCATCCTGAATTTGGTTTTTAGTCCCCCTCTCCTCTCAATAGCTTCCACAGGTGTATCACTTCTGCAAGAGATGGTTCTGAACCTTTTAATCTGACCAGTTCAGCAGAAACTGATCAGATTAAAAGACAAGAAACTGGTCAAATTAAATGCAGGCAGTGCAAAAAGCTTTCCTCTGAGTGCTTGCTTTTCATCATAGGTGAGTTAAGAAAATTTTACTTCTCTAGCTTTTGCCTCTATTTAATCATCCCTTGGGTATCGCTAATGCTGCTTCTTTCCTGTGTTTGAGTACAGTCGTTTAAACAACCTAAATTCATACACTTCTTATGGTTAATAACAATGTAGTTGGTATCAGCAAATATTTGATCGCCTTCCTTGGATGCAGGCAATGCTGTTCTGCCCTGAAGGCAGCAATAGTCCTAAGTAGGTTGGGGAGAGAGAGAGGGACAAAAACAAAGCGCTCAGAGCTGGGCAGATGAGCCTCCCAAACCCCAAGTCTTTGAAAGCTTTCCAACTATTATCCCATGTCTGTCGGATGTTGCAGCTCTGATGATTTCCGTATGTCTGCAGAGTCAGGACAGCTGCGATTGAAACTGATGGCACAGTAATTGTTAAACTACATCGGTGAGCCCAGGCAATGCATGTTAGTGCCACATTAAAGCCACATTAATATACCATAATTAATTGCAGGAGGAATATCAAATGAATTATTGATTGGTCTCTTCTTACCACAACAGCTGTCTGTCATTACTGTGTGTGGTGGGTTGTGATAACTATTACCCTTGTCATTTGCTGGGCTAAAACTCTGTGATGAATCATAATCTACATTCCCACAATGAGCAGATGCCAATTTTCCTGCTTTCAGTCGTCAAACGAGTAGGTATTAAAGTCAGTGTAGACCTAGAATAGATAATTTAGTAGCATTTACTGCGTTATTGAGAATTGAAGAATTAAACTGTCCTGGAAACACAACTGAGAAGGGATAAGAACACCTCTAAATGTACGTGTTAGGGCAGCCTTAGGAGAAAACTGTTACATCCTGCATGTTAAGGTCACCTTTCATTTTGGCTGTACTTGCCTGAAGTAAAGTATTATGTGGTGTGGATCAAGTCTCTGCAGTAAGGCATAGGTGGGGATGTACTGATGGGAAATTTGTGCTTTCTCTCCAACTGGAATGAGGTGCAAGAGCTGTCTAGTTGGTGACAGGTCACACCTGGTGCCCAACTCAGAGGAGGCAGAGGAAGGTTTATCCTCTCCTCAAGAGGCACAGTCCTGCATTCACAACAGACACCTTCTTCATTCTTAACTATAGGTTAATATTAGATCAAATTGCCTATTTCTGGTGCTTCTCACCAAGCAGTGTCTGGCAGTCACTTCCTCTCGATGCTTCTCTTCTGTGATGTTCATGAGAGAGCTTTGTTCCTAACACTATAGGAACGACTTGGTGAGATGTGGGGATTATAATGCACTGAGAGGGTATGACTAATTGCACTGACAGGGCAGAGCTGGTGGATTCATTGCAGAGAAATTAAATAGCACATTCCACATCACTGTCTGATCAGCTGTCGGCAAGAGAGGAAGGCGCATACAATGGGAAAGAAAGGCCAGGCTCCAGAGACAACACCCAGATCCCCTCCTCAGCCAATCAGCCATTCATACTGGGAATTATACCAGTGTATGTATGTCAGAAGAAGCCAAGCTGACATAATGGCCATTGGTGATTGATTAGTGAAATAAAAAGAGAAATGCAGCAGTGAAGACAAGCAAAAGCATCTCGTCGGGGCAGGTACTCTTTGTGCTGTGCTGAATCCAGCATGGTTTTGTCCCTGCCCACTATTCAAAATTGATTTTAAGTAAAACTATTAATTTGTGCAAGTCTCAAACTACAGTGAAAGCTGCAATTTCCAATGACAATACATGGAAAACCTAACATTTTACTAAGGAAAGCACCATCTCCAAAGCTGAAGCCATTAGAGGTGAATTAACTTCCAGTCACTGGAAAACAGAAATCCTTCCCTGCAGGAATGGGCTGCAACATCCACCAGCACTGGGTCTTCTCACACGATGATGGTATCGTACCCCAAACTGTGCCAGTGTAAAACCCAAAGGAACCTTTCAGAGTGACAGAATTACTTCAAGCTTTTGTGTAAAAGAATGTGGAGGGTAATAGCTGTCAGGCTGTGACCTGAAATGTAAACCAAATAAGATGCTGGGTAAATCAAGAGTAGACACCCATTTAGCAGATGTCTTTCCTTTTCTCTAAGGAGTACGTGTCTGGCAGCCAAAAAGTGTTCTGTGTAGAGCTGCTGCTGAGCACCAGCAGCAAGGGGATCAGTGCTCATGATCCTCACACAGGGTTTGAAAGCATTTACAGACTGAATGCTATTACAGAAGATGATACTTTTGAGCAGTGAAAAGAAAGGCGAAGGAAAATTCAAATGCAACTCATGGTATTTGCTGAAATTTGCAACTGAAGCTTAGCCCAAATGGTTCCAAAATCTGCATTAAGTTCAGTGAATGCAGGCAGTTTTCTGCTATAATATTGAGGGGATACCAAACTCCAGTTAGTATTAAAATGCAGATAAATGGAGTAGCATCACCCTGTACAGAAACAGTCAGGTCCATGAGGGCTGTTGGCTGCAAATCAGCTCTATGCTCACTGGCTCCATGTCTCCTCACCATGTTCTGGCTCCTGAGAGGTTCTGCTGGTCCTCCCAGCATGAGGACTGAACTGGCTCTTGAGACAACCTGGCTTAGATTAACTCTAAATAAAAGATTCACTAAACGAAGAAACAGAAATCATATAATCCCGAAGATCCTGCTATAAAACCTCCTGGCAATAGGAATGTTACCTCCACATCAAGGAGTAACATGGGTGGAAAAAAGGGGGAAATTTTTCCCTTCTGTGTAAGGAAAGGTTTCAGAGCTGGGGTGTGGGGTTGGGAAGATGAAAGCCCTTCTCTTGCCACTGCTGGAGGCCAGGAGTGTCATGCAGTGTGCTCTGCTTCTCTGTGCTGCTTTCTCCCTGAACGTAAGAAGGAAGATAATCATTTTGACATCTCAGAAGTCTTTAAAAGCTATGGATGAAAGCTGCAGCTTGAGAGGTCTGGACTGCTGTCCACACCTAAACGTCTCTGACTTGATAACACTCCTGAAATCTTTCGCAGACTCCCTCTCCTTATCCTTAGTTTAGCTGCAGAAATGAAGCTGAGCAGGGTTAAAGAATGCCAGAAGGGAGCTGCTAATAGTGCAGAAAACCATGGGAAGAGGGCTCAAGGTAATGCACTGGCTGGAAGGATGGGGCCATAGACACAAAGCTGCTAGAAACACTGCTGCTGCTGCTGCTGATCTCAGTACAACTTGTTTTTATTAGGCATTTTGGGTTAGATATTAGGAAAATAGATTAGATACTAGGAAAAACTCTTCCCTGTGAGGGTGCTGAGGCGCTGGCACAGGGTGCCCAGAGAAGCTGTGGCTGCCCCATCCCTGGCAGTGTTCAAGGCCAGGTTGGACACAGGGGCTTGGAGCAAGCTGCTCTAGTGGAAGGGGTCCCTGCCTGTGGCAGGGGGATGGAGCTGGAGGAGCTTTAAGCTCCCTTCCAACAGTCCATGATTCTATTATTTACTCAAAAAGTCTTTGGAAATAACTAAATGAACTAGTTAAAGTTTAAAAGTTGATGTACATGGTTTTGATTTACCATGACAGCTTAATTTATTAAAGAAGAAAACCTCAGACTCACAGTCACTTTTCTCTTCTTGCATAAGACTAAAAAAAGAAGGCAATTAAATATTTAAACCTCTCCATCTTCTCTGTGCACTGGCACTAATACATGCAAACCTAGACTCTGCCTAATGGTATGATAGTTTCAAAGTGCATTGATGTATAGTATTGCAGTAACTGGATCCTAATTGGTGTAAATGTTTGCATCTGCATTAGCTGGATGGAGCGGTGCCAGTTCTGGCTCTCTGTTCCCAAAGATGCACCTTTGTCTCCTAAGGAGAACAGGATGTCTTCCTGTGCTCAAAAGTGAATGACAAAGCACAGACCTTTTTCTTTCTGAAATCAGCAGCTGAAGTCTGATGGAGTTCAATGGGAGCCACATTGTGCCCAGATGTACACTGAGAGCTGGGCTTTCCACGTCATTGCTGCAGAGCAGGGAGAAGTGTCCTGTAAATTAAATACCAGAGCTTTCTGGGTCAGAGCCCTCACTTTTTAGGTGGGGTGTGTTGTCCTTCTTGCCCATCTACAGCAGAATTCAGCAGGCAGCCCTTAGCCCTGGGTCCCTATGCTCAGCAGCAGCAGGATGCTTGCTCAGTACACCCTTGGCTTCCACAGCTGGATTCTGCTTCCCTCCTGTTCTCACCAGCAAGGAGAGGCTCTTATTTTACTACGTTTGATTCAAAGTCATTTGTGCTGATAGAGCTTTTGATCCAGATGATCTGTAAGCACCTAGGTGGCTGTAATTAGCACTATCAGAGCAGCATTAAAGCAAGAGGCAGAGGGGAAAACCACACAACTGGAGAAGAGTGAAGCCACATAAAGACACTCCTGTGCCTCTTCCTGAAAGTAAGATTTAGGAAGTGATGAGGCCCAGGTGCTTTTTCTAGAGCACCACAGCAGGAGCAGGCTGGTGGGAAGCTCAGGTGAAGCCTGCCAGGGCTGTTGTTAAGTGATTGACTTCTCCCAGGAGGGAGGATGGGGGTCTGTAGCAGCTCAAGTGCTGCAAGACGGACAGGGCCATGCTGCAGTGAACAGCAGAGGACCTGACATGGAGCTGGGGTGGGGAGAGCAGAGCTGGCCACAAGAGTTTTAGGTTTTTAGAAGCTGTTTCATTAAGCTTAAACCTCACAACAGCCATTGGTTCAAAGGACCTGGGGATGTGGTGCCCTGATTGTTTGCAGGTGGCTATGGGGCAGCTAGTTGCTTGCCCACATGGGAACCAGCTGACAGGATCTGCCCATACCTGATGCACATAAAAATCTTACCAGCATCCTTGTCTTTAAAGGCTTGCTGCAAAGTCAGTGGGCCCAGTTCTTCATTAGAATCGTGTTATGCTAATGGAAGCTGATTGGATTTTGGGTAAAGATTTGAGGAATCAAAGCAGGTTCACTCAGCTGCGTGTATGCATGTGATACCTGCCTGGCAGGTTGGTAGCAAGCTCTGCTTCCAGGAGCCCACATGCTGCTCTCTGCATTTGAGGGATAATTTTGGATGTCTTCATCTCTGCTTGCAGGTATGTCTTGCTTTTGATTGGGATACAGTAAGTTTTCTTCTTAGTAGCTGATGCAGTGCTGTGTTTTGGCTTTTATATGAGAACAATGCTGATAATACACTGATCTTTCAGTTGTTGTTAAGTAATGCTTACTCTAAATCCAGGACTTTTTCAGTCTTTCATATCTGCCCAGGAAGCTAAGAGGGATCAGACAGGAGATGTGACCAAAACTAGTCAAAGGGGTATTGCATACTACAGCACATCACACCCAGGATAGAAACTGGGGGGCCCAATTGCTGCTAGGGTTGGGTATTGGTCAGTGGGTGGTGAGCAATTGTATTGTGCATCACTCGTGTTTATTGGGTTTTATTTAGCTCTTTTTCCTTTTATTGTTATTATTATAGCATTTTACTCACTATTTGAACTATTTTACTTATTGTTTGAACCCACAAGTTCTACTTCTTTCAAATTCTCCTCCCTGTTCAACCAAGGGTTGGCGGGGGGGAATGGCTGCATGGTATTTAGTTGCTGGTTGGTGTTAAACTATGACAAGGTGGAAGCAGACACAGGAACAAAATGTTCAGGAAAAAGAAGTGGGAAAAACCTACTCATGAAGCAGAAAGCCTATTTCTGTTTGGTTTGGGGCAACTGGCCCCTTAATGTGGTCGGTATGCTCTGAAGAGGCATCATGTAGACCTGAGTGTACCTTTCTGGTCTTCCTGTGGGATTGGGAAGGATGTTATCCAAGTCAGTGTTTTGGCTCTTGTTCCTTATGTAAAACACCCTTTTTTGGATTCTCCAAGGTCTGTGGTGTTTGCACAGTGTGAGTTTGGTTCTTTTTCTTTGGTGTGAAAAGCCTTCCCTACCAATGTGCTTGGCGGAACTATCAGGGTGAGCTGCTATTTCAAAGCACATCGTGTGTAATGAAAGGAGTTACTTTGCAGCAGAGGTTATAGGATCGTTAAAGAGCGTTTACCAAAACAATTCCCAATCAAGCAGTCACACCCTCGGCCACAAAGTGGAAGGAATACCTGAAATCCCCACCAAGGACCTCTCCCTTCCTGAATAAGAAGGTAGTTGGCTACAAAGAAGAGAGTTTGACTTCCTGGAATCATCTTTCAGGGGCCTGGTTTATAGCACAATAAGGAGGGAGAAGGGAACTGAAGCTGTTAGCGTATTAGTGCGGCTGCAATTCACTGCAATTCCTGTGTGTAAAGTGGGGGATAGTCCCAGGTCAGGACAGATTTTAGCCTGGGTTAGTCGTTCCTCCACCAAACTCTTTCTCTCCCATTCAAAACTTTTTCCAAATGCCAATTCTTCCAACAATAGCTCCTCTTCCTTTTCCTTGCTATTAATTTTTGCACACCTCTTATTTTAATGTTTTTTTATTTACTCTTTCCCCACTTTGTTTTTCATGCCCTGTGTTTATGGTCCCTGGTGGGTGAGGAGAACTACAGGGGAGAAGTGCCCCATCATATGTTTGTAAAGCACTGAGTATGTGCCTGGAGCTGCCTTGGACACTGCCAGGGATGGGGCAGCCACAGCTTCTCTGGGCACCCTGTGCCAGCGCCTCAGCACCCTCACAGGGAAGAGCTTCTGCCTAAGAGCTCATCTCAGTCTCCCCTCTGGCAGCTTAAAGCCATTCCCCTTGGCCTGTCCCTGCAGGCCCTTGTCCCAAGCCCCTCTCCAGCTTTCCTGCAGCCCCTTCAGGCACTGGAGCTGCTCTCAGGTCTCCCCTTCAGGAGCCTTCTCTTCTCCAGGCTGCCGCAGCCCAGCTCTCTCAGCCTGGCTCCATAGGAAGAGGAAGCTGGAGGAGTGCTCAAAGACACTAAATTGGAGGGGTCAGTTCCTCTGTCAAGATGTGGATCCAGCTCTTGCAATAAAAGCATCTCATGACCAACTTCCAGAAGCGTAAAGCATTTTGTTAACGTTTTAAAGACTATGATCTAATTTAATCCTGTTGCTTCCATTCCTTCTGGAATGAGGATAGGCTTGTCAGTAGAAATCTTTAATACACTTATATTAGTCATTTTGCTTCAAGTGCTTTTTGCACCTCCGTGATGCATTCAAAGGACATCAGCATAAACAGCTTGTACTCCTTTGCCTGGGAATGAGAGCAGTGACTTAAAAATACACTTGTCACTTACAGAAGTTCACGTTTTTCTGAGAAGTGGACAATGTGCTGTATTACTACCAGAAATGGCTTTGGTAAGAGCTTGCAGAAAGTGCAGCAAGGCAGGAAAATAAGTCATTATAGGGTATTTCTGTTGCAGATTGCACTGTGGCCATGGGACACCCTTCTTAAGCCAACCCGTTCATAGCACAACACTGCTGAGTGCATCTGCCTCTGCTAAAACCATCTTTTGCCCCTGCTGTGGTTCACAGTTTTGCCATATAATTTACAACGCATACTTTAGGGTGGAGAATGGAAGGGAAATTCATGGGTTTAGTACAGCAGAACTCTCCCTCGGTACTGGCCTGGAAATGCTGCTGGCCAGTTTCTCCATGCCTGCTGTGCCTGAGCTTTCATTGCCAAGACAAAGTAGGTTTAGGCAAGTTAAACGCTCGCTTGTGAGGACATGCCGTAACTGGTACGTACGTTTGTAAACCTCAGACCCCGAGGTACTGATTGCAGACCCACAAGAACAACTCTAAAACCAGTCAGAGGACAGCAAGCTTCCAACCCACCAGCACCCAAACCACCCCTGTGAAGCGGGGTATTATTTGGCAGCTGGAAACTTGCATCAGCAGAAACTTGGAGCGATTCTGCTGGAGGTGGTGTGGAGGTGGAGCCACAAACCTGAAGCCTCCTCAGTGCATTGCTGAGGTCTGTGTTCAATATCTCTGTTTCGATCAAGTTTGCTGTGGCCGCCTTAGTGTCCTGATTAAAACCTCATGCTGTCAGCAGTCCTCCTCTACCCTGAAACAGGCATTTGCAGAGCAGTCAGAAGAGGAATTTCCACTGGTTTCCATCTGTGGGACCTCCTTGCAGAGGAAACCCTTTGTCATGGTCTATCATCTGCCATTTCAAAGATCCCCTTGATTTATCTAGCTGGACCTTTCAGACAGAGATCTGAAAGCACTTCATATTTGGTAAAGAGATTTATAATCTACTGTGAAAACCAAGATGTGAGTTTTGGATTGTCATTAAGTGAAATGCATGGAAAGACAGGGAACTGAGAAGTTCCCGTTCACCTTGTACTAGCTAATACAACTCAGAAATAGGTTTAAATAGCTATTCAGACTAATTATAAAGCTACATATAGAGAAGTCTATATAGCATTTTACGCACTTTCATGTATTTTAACTTGTGGCTTAAAAAATCATCATTATCAATTCTAGTAGTTTAATGCTCTTGTAAATCTGTTAGTGCACTGTATATTTAGTAGCATCTACCTGCAAAGCAAACTGACCTCTGTAGGGTTTCTGTCGCTTGTAAATCAGAGTTTCTTGTGATAAATACTCAAGAATGCCAAAAATAATTTGCCAGCAACTAACCTGAAGGCAAGCTAGGTCATGCCATAATAACTGGACCAAGTCAGGTCTATCAGTTTTATCTTATCATTTCTAGCATTTAACCAAGGCCAGCTATTCAAACTTTCATTATCCTTATATTCAGTTCCTATCTGTGATTCATTCTGGATATCTCTGTATGACAGAAAATTGAAGAGTAATTTTGCTTTTCCAAAAGAAATACATACAGATGCCCTTAAGTACAGACACTGCTTTTTACTTTGGGGCCTGCTACTCTGCCTATTCCACTTGAAATACACCAATAGCATGGTTTTAATAGCAGAAAAATCTTTAGTAACAAGTATGAACTGCAAAACTTGATCTTGCATTTTATTTTTGACTGCTTTCTCCTTCCAAAAATTAGATAAGGAAGGGCAACTAGCGGATACAAGCTGACTTCTGCATTGCTTCTCATGCCGGTGGCTTCCCAGCCCATCCCAGCTGTAACTGCATACCTACTGCATCAGTGATCCAGATACTCTTCATAAATAATTCACACTTTGTCAGCAGATTGTCCTGCCTCCACCAGGATGTTTGGACTGAATACAGACCATATTGCAGCACTGGATGAAGACGGGTCCCCCATGGAGAAAGGGGGGACCGTGAGTAGTGGCATAGCCTGCTGTCATGGTGTTTCACAGCATCTGGAGGAGCAGCTGCCCATTGAAGCCAGCTCAAACAAAGTGTGGTTCTTTAGCTTTTAGCAGTGGTGTGTTCCACGTGTGGAGAGGGCAGGTGAGACCTAGCTGGACATGATGTCATTTTCTTTGCTCCTTAGCACAGAAATCCCATACTCCAAGGGATTTACTGACTGTGGTATGGGTCAGTGGGAAATAACCCTGTTGGTTGTACCACCGGTTTTCCTCTGTGTAACAAACTAGCTGGTTTTGCAGCTGATCACCCAGTTAGTTGCCTCTCTCGCATCCTACTCCCTCTGTAGTTCATACTCCATAGGTGCACAGATATCAGAACATAATCTGGTGTATCTGAGGAAAGTTTGATACTGCAGGAGCTCAAACACTGTACGTGGATTACTGATGGCATAGTCTATTACTGACAGCCTTGTCTATGTAAATGATATTAGGCACTAACAGGAGAAAAATGTATGACATGACAAACTGTGATTTTGCTCTTCATCTGTAGAGTAGTTTAAATAGCATCATTCTGGTCTGAATATGTAATTTGGCATTAAAATCTCATAACAGGATTGGCCCATCACTCAGAAACCCTGCAAGAATAATTTTAAAGGAAGTTATTTATATGGAGAAGCCAAGACACTTGTGCTTTTTATGGGCAGATAATGGAGACTGGAGAGTGATTTATGCCAAATGGAAATAATTCATCATAATTGCATGAAGTACTTAATATTCCTTCTCCACCCCCGTGAACAGGAAGCTGTCTGGGTTTCAATTGATGGTTAATTTGTAATAATCATATATTAAATCTATCAAGTGTTCAGCTGCACCCTGGAATACAATGAAGTCTTTTCCCCTGAAGGTTGTCTTCCAAACCCTCACTGTCAGTAGCGCTGCTTTCTTTCCTTGCATCTTGTGCCTCTAAGCTATCAGCCTGTAACCAGGAGTTACGCATTTGATTTGGCTAATACTTGGAAGCAAAATCTGTGCATTCCGGTTTCTAGGCAGAACAAGAATTTCTCAGTATACTGCATTCATCCCAGGAGAGGAAAACACACTTTGTGTTACAAGCTGGGAAGCAGCAAAAGGTATAGAGCAGGACAGCGAGAGCTGTTGTTCACAGTATCCTCTGCCAGCAGGATTTTGTTCTTATATCAGGGCAGGAGAGGCTGGATGTGGAGCAGAAAGTCCTTGTGTGTGTCTCTGGGCTGCTGTGCAGAGGGGCACCCACCACTGAGCTCTTTAAAGGCACAGCTTGGAGATCAGTTGGGATCTATTCTGTATCCAGCGTCAGTGTTGGAGGAATCTGCCTGGAAATTGGTTTACATTACAGTTGTGTGTTCGTTTTCTGAAGTTTAAGGATCTTGGCTTGAGCTCTGGATAAGAACCCACAAACATTTAATTTAGTGGGATGACTTGAAATCAGGACTCTGCCCTCCAGCAGACCTTGACATTAACCAGCTTCCCCAGCATCTCTTCTTACCAGTATAATTAAAACCTGAACTGCTGCCAGAGTATGTGTGCCCAAGAGGGTAAGGAACTGATTCTGGAGGCTGTAGGAGTGTAAATAGTCAGAAATATCAGAGCTGGAAATGCATGGGTGGGTTCATCATTAGGAACAAAAGCAGCACAGCCTGGCAGTGAGGTCTATGAGCTTCTCTTCCTGATTTTCAGTAGAAGTGGAGGAAGAAAGCAGAAAGCAAAGATGCTTTCAGTTAGATCTGAGAATTAAGATTAATCAAATAAACCTGAATAAATCATCCACAGAGACTGAGGGATTTGTGGAAGTTTGGGAAGAAAAAGGGCAGCTCTGCCTAAATGTGTATTTATGAATGTATGTTGTGGAACCCAGAGCAAACTGGCCAATGTTTCAACCCACTGCAAAGAGCAAATATGCCACATCTCCTATACCTTGATATTTTTAGGTCAAAGACATACAGGGTGAAATCTGAACGTTCATAGGAAAAGCCAGATACAGAGAATGCACTTGGTCACGGTCACATAAGCGACTGGCTTTATCAGTGTAGTCTCTGTGAACCCAAAGACAGCAAAGATATCTGTCTTATTTATAATCCCTTTGTGGAATCTAAGGCTGAGAAATGTTTTTGTCTCTCTTCTTTCAATTCTTCCCTAGAAAGACACTTTCCAGACGTTTAAGCAGTGTTTCAGGCTGACAGCTCGCTGCAATCCAGGTGTCTGCTAATTTGGAAGCACTGAAAATATCTCAAGGAACTGGTTGTTTAAAACCCAGTAAATCTTGCTTTGTCTTGGCGTAATGAAATACCTGGAAAACAGCTTTGCAGACATCGTTGTGTTTGCAAGCACGCTCTGTCTGCACAGCAGTCCCCTGCCCCTCCGCTTTCCAAGGCTTTCTCCAGGCTATTTTACCAGCACAAAGCCTCCTGCAGCCCAGCAGTGGGACAGGGCTTGGAGCAGGATGAGTATTTTATATTGACATTGCACAGCAAGAGCAAGCATGTCGGTAAGGGCCTTATGGAAGGAGCATGAGAGGTGCAGCTGAATTAAAGAGCTCCGTTACCGAGTACACGTTGCAGTTATAATTGCCAAGAATCTGGGGGAATGCTTCCCTCCGAGCACAGAAACACTGGAAGGGAATGGCTTGCAGAGGAGTCTGAGCTTCAGGAATGAAACACCCATTTTCTTGCAGGCAGGAATCTGGCATCTTCCTTTTATCCCTTCAAGCAACTCCTCTCCCACATCCTTGGAGACTGGCAAGCTGCGCATTTACAGT